ATTTGCATATATGTATATAAATATATATGAAAATACAGATGTGAGTACATGTGTGTGTACATCGGTGTATATAAATATATGCGTGTACATATATACATATATGTGTGTGTATAAGTGTGTACATATATATTTATACCATACATATTTATTTGTATTTTCATACACATGGTTATTAATAAGGTTATTAATACGTTTTCAATATATAATATATACACAAATATATACATACATACATATTTAATGATGATGATGATGTCAGACAACATACACCAGTAAATACATTTCCAATTAAACAGAGGGCGTATTACACAATCTCGACTCCATGAAGGTAATTAGCGATCGCACATGAACTCTTTGTTCTCCCAAAGTGATTGGCAGTTGTTTTCATGACCTGGAAGTGCGCCCCCTGAGTGGCCAGATTTTGGAATTTGAAAGATGGTTGTCTTCAACCTCTCCGCTGTAAGTTGTTTCAAATCAACTTGATTTATCGATTTATGAAAAGGTTTGACATTAAAGAAATTGATGCTGAAGGTGAAGTTCTTTAAATTGTCCATAACATGACTTAGAAACTAAGAAAGAGAAGAACACACAAGAGTGACTGCAGTAAAGTGAATAAAGTGAAATTCATAAAAATGCTGCTGCCAAGAGTGTTTTAATGTGTCACAATGAAATCAGCTGCGTCACTAATCTACCGTCATGTAATAACACCTCACACATGAGGCTCTTGTGTAAACATGACACATCAGAGCTCCAGTATCTGATCTCAATAAAAACATCAGTCTTAGAGAGAAATTCTAGACAAAAGAATACACAGGTTCGGTTCCTGACAGACTGAAGTCGCCCACACTAATAAAAAAGACACTGTGAGGTGTGAAGAGTGTAAAAGCAGTGGTCTTACCTTGGGTGAATGAGGAAGCCTGGCTGGAGGAAACTTGTAGCCGGCTGGTGGCAGATGTGACATCACAGCCAGTTGGACCTGTTTCACTGTGGAATTAGAAAAATGTCCTTCCCATTGACAGAGAACCAGACTCTAACCACTGCCTTCAGGTGTTACACTATGACCTGTTCTCTGACGCAGTGTCACTCTCTGTCAGCACACGTACTCCACAGCCGCTCAGTGTCCGTGACAACTCTTTTCACATGAAAACTCGTTTCCGTCAACTGTCTAAAATGCGTTTTAAGATAATGACTATAATTGAACTAATGATTCTGCTCTTACACACAAAAGTCAAATTGCTTAACTTTCTTCTTCGTGCTACGATTGTTAGTTAAAAAACATACAAAAAAAAAATAAAAACAGTGGTTGACTCTTCCTGAGTCTGTAGGCGTATGCACATCAAGCAGTGGTTTTTTTCCCTCAGTCTTTTCAGTTCTCATGACTCTCAGACTCTTTACACAACAACGGTTGTTTGGTTTACTTACCTTTCTGTTGTTTTTAGTGTTATAAACTGTGGTGTGTGGCTCAATCATCACTTGTTGCTGGCCTGTAAATTTGGACAAAAAGAAAGATATTCAGATTTAGAGGAAAACAGCAGATAAAGCACAACAGGTCAGTTGAAGACTTACATTTCTTTATTCTAAACCTGAGTTTTCAAATGATTGGTTATCTTTTTTCGCTTGGTGTGTGTGTGTGTGTAAGGCTATCAGGTTTCCACCTGCTGTTGATAATCCATCCTGAAAATCATCCACTTACCAGAGCCAGGTGTGTGGAGACAGCCAGTTCACAGGCGGTTGTTCCACCACAGAGTATTCCACCAGTGAATCCTGCGCTGTTTCCACTCATGAGTGTTTGTTGTCACCTGTTCCTGTTGTTGCTCTTCCTGCTGTTTTCCCTCTGCCTGCCTCGCCCAGCTCCTGCTTTGACTGCCAGTCAGGCATTTGTTCCTGGGTTAGGGTTAGGGTTAGAGGTCAGGACTAGGGTTGGAGGCAAAATTAGAGTCAGGGTCAGGGTCACAGTTAACCCCTTCCTACTTTCGGTACTTCACAGTTGATGAGACCATGAGAAGCAGCCATTGTTGTCAGAATGAAAGGGTTCCCGCCCAACTGGGCGTTTTCAAATCTAATTTCCCGCCCCAAAAAAACTGCAGTTACAGAAGATGGGTATCAGGCAGGTGTTTATAATTAGACACAACAGAGCACCACTGTTCTCTCAACATTGACAAAGAACCAAACTATATGACATGAATAATTACTGCAATACCATGCAGTAAAGCAGTGGTTCCCAAAATGAGGGGCAGACCCCCACAGGGGACATGGAACTATTCCTGGTTGAAAGTGTTGAAACCTTCAACGTCGTTTTTTCAGCGACAATACGTTAAAGTTTTGTCACAGTCTTCTATGCATTTGTCCAGACAGGACTCCGTTTACCCATGATGCCACAGAATTACTTAGTTTTTTCCTTCATTCCTTCCTTCCCTTTTAAATCACCAAAAAAACGAACAACTCACTCATACTGTATGTGTGCGCAGCAACTGTGAGATCTGCAATAACCACGGTCATGTGACAGACGGATTTGCATATTCACAGCACGCACTCAAAATCAGTCCAAGTTCAAAACAACAAAAGAATAAAACCTGACCTAAGTTGTGTTAAATAAAAAGAGTTTATTTCAAAGGGAAAACAAAGTGACATCACAGCTCGTCTTTAACCGTTTCATTGGCCGAAGCCTCTGTCGTCTCATCAGTCTCCTGAGGGACAAAGAAATAAAGTGATAATTAGATCTTTACAGTCGGACAGATTAGGTACACGGACACGGTACAAATACTCACTTTGCTCTCATCACTGGCATCCTCAGACTTTTCAGAGTCGTCGTCTCCGTCCTCTCCATCATCGTCCTCGTCTTCGTCTTCCCCATCATCACTTTCCTCCTCAGGCATCACACCCCCATTATCCAGGAACTTAGAGAGGGTCTCCAGATCTCTCTTGTGGCTTGTATAGTCCACGGCCTGTTGCAGAAACATAAACATGAGCTCTGTGTGTGTGTGCGTATGTGCGTGTGTGCGTATGTGCGTGTGTGTGTACCTCCTTCCCACCAGCAGGGAAATATTTGAGTGTGGGAAATCCTTCCACCTTGACAGACTCAATCTCATTAGCGATGGCGTCCATCTTGGCTATGATGATGTCATCGTGGTCAGCATACTTTTCCCCCAGCTTTTCCCATGTTGGTGCCAGTTCTTTACAGTGACCACACCACGGAGCATCTTTGACAAACACAGGAGTTTTCTAAGAGTGATTCTATGTTTTTGTCAGGATTGGTTTTTTGTTTTTGTTTTTTACCTAAAGCTTGGTCTTAAAAGAAAGCAAAAAAATAAATAAAGCAAACAAAAGCCAAGTGTTTTTTTTAAAGCAAACAAAAACCAAGTGTTTTTTGAAAGGTTCTGGCATTGCATTTTTTATGATCGTCTAGATTGTATGTTATCATAAAAAAAAAAAAACAACAACAATAGAACCAAGGTGTCAGTCAAATCTGGGCAGAGAAAGTGACTTACAAAACTCCACAAACACGTTTTTGGTCGGATCCAGAGCAACAGACTCAAAGTTCTTCCCAACCAGGACTTTGACAGGTCCTTTGTTCCAGTCTTCTGGGATCTCCTCTGATCTAAAGTAAGGCTGCACCAAAGAAGAAGTAAACAGTTAAAGTTGTTAAGAATGTTGCAGGAAGTTTCATTTACAAAAAGTATCTCCCGAGGGTTCGTTACAGGTCAATTTGAATAGTCACCACAAGAGGTCACTCTCGAGTTGTCAGTTGTTGTTGTTGTTTGTTCGTTTCACCTAAGCATTTCCCTCCAGAACGTCCTGACACAGCTGTCGCAGTGAGTCCAGAGTCAGTTTGTCAGAGTTGGTGTTGAACTTTATTCCTGTCTTTATGTTGATGACACGAACAGTGGGGGCGTCGTCCGCAGACACACCGAAGTAAGTCAGCACATGACCGAAGCCTGCCGTCACGTCAATGGAGATAAACAGCATCTGGAAAATGCACCAATATATATATATATATATATATATTAATATTTTTAGTTAGTTAAGTTAATTATCATTATTTTGTTCTTTTCTGGGTCAGGAAATTAAAAAGAAATCACTAAAAAACAGAAAACACTGAGGCAAATATCAGGCATTTTAGAACTTATAGATGATGAACACACACACACACACACTGACACACACACTGACACACTGTTACCTTTTTCTTCAACTCTCTTGCAACCGTCCTCATCTCTTCCAGCAGTTCTTTGTGACTGTCCACGGTGGAGTTGATGAACAGCAGGCTGTGCATCTTAACACTGGAGCTGAAGATCTTTTCTGAATTCTGAACATTCAGTAAACACAACACAAAATCACCACAGTGCTCACACACTCGCAGACTAACTGCACACACTGTTGTGTGTCTGATCTACCTCCTGGTTGTATGAGATGATCAGCTCCAGGCTGTTTTCATTGATGAAGTTCATTAGCTCCTTTTTGTCCAGCTTTCCTTCTTCTGACAAAGCGAAGTCTGCACGGCCGTCATCGAACTACAACAAACGCAATAAATGAGCAACAATTCATTTAATTTTTTTTGTTTTGTTTTTTCTATGTATGGCTGTGTCATATAAGTCATATGGTTCAAAGCTACACAATAAAATAATAATAATAATAATAATATATTAACCCAGGCCTAAATTTAGAGACCAAACACAGCCTGGCTAGATGGCAGCATGGCAGCTAGATGGCAGCATATCAACATCATTCCCGTTCTCTTGCAGCGTCTTTCATCATAATGTCAGGTGACGATCATACCTTTTTGAAGAGCACCACTGAGTTGGCTTTTACTTCATACTTCTGGAAGATTTCCGGAGAAGCCGTCAGAGCAAACTCTGTTTCAGTTTGATCCAGAAAAACTTCCTTAAAGGCCACGGCTGCTTCGCTTTCCAGACTCTGAGGAGGAGAAAATACAGTGGAAACGTGGGTTCGTTATATCATGTATTTTATTTAATTTCATGAATGTAACAGACGCGGTCCACACTTACATCAAAGAATCCAACGACTGAAATGTTATGGGCCTCAACGAACTGGGCCGCGGACTCCACAGAGTCCAGCACTGCAGCACCAGCGCTGGTGCGATGCTTCATCCACTGGATTATTCCCTCTGCTGACCTCTTACCTGAGGAAGCCAGTACACCAGGTCAACTAACGGTTGACTCTCTCATCAAACATACGTTTATATCAGCGTGTATATACTGACCAGTGTAGTCAACGGACTGCTTGCGGTCTCCATTGACGAACAGTTTCAACGTGGGGAAGCTTCTGACGTCAAACTCCTCGGCCAGCTCTTGTTCTTCAATGGCGTTCACTTTGGCCAAACGCAGAGCAGATTTCTCCTCCTTCAGTTTCCCAGCAGCCTCGGCGTAAACAGGCTCCAGATGTTTACAGTGACCACACCAGGGAGCGTCTGCACAAACCAATACACAAAAGTCATGGGGACGTTAAGGACAAGAGTCGTCTGCTGTGGACGTGTGTCGCAGGAACCAGAGTGGACAGATAGACATGGAAATGAACTGCTGATAACAGCAGTAGCGGTTGTGCTAAAGGTTAGCAGCAGCTGCTACTACTGCTGCTGTTGAGCTCAGGTGTGGGAAAGTTGAAGCAGGAAAACATCTGGTCACACAAGGACACGTGGAAAACAAAGCACATGCGTTTGCACATTTGCATGACAACCTGGCAGAGCAGCAAATTCTTTATAAACAGAAAAATTAGCTAATCTTCCATCTTAGATGGCAAAAATATTTCATTCAACCAATGAAAAATTCATCCAAAATAAACTAAAATATTAGATGAACACATGCATCAAAGTATGTGATACAGATATGACGACTTACATGTGGCCCAGACAAAGGATTTGGGTGACTGTGTGGCCCAAATGTTTGCAAAAATAAAATAAAAAATTTAATTTGCAGTGACTTCACTCACCACTGGATTATTACCACGTCTGGTAAAATGCCCACTTTGGAATCATTACTGTGTTCAGTCTACACATGGCTGACATATGGTTAAAAAAAAATTAATTTGTTGTAAATATTTTTGGCTTTGGGTCATAATTATTTTTGATAAACACGTATTTGACTAAAGTCGACTGCTAAAATGAATGACTTTTAATTGTGAGATATTTTAAATTACTTTTTTGTTTGTTCCTCTTTATATGACACTTCTGTAGAGCACGTGTTGACCATTAGCCACGTTTAAAGATCTCACCACACCAGGTGCCAACAGATAAATATCAAATATTAAAAAGGTGTAAAACAGAGTCAGGAGAACTCACAGAATTCCACCAGGACGTAGTTATTCTCACTGAGCGCTCTGTCAAAGTTGTTGATGTGAAGCACCATCACGTCCTGCTCCTCCTCTATCTCTGTGGTTTTCTCCTTCTGTGGAGCCTCCTTGTCTTCCTCGTCCTCAGCCTCCTCCACTGACGCATCCTCTACCGTCTCCTTCGGTGTCTCCGTCTCCTTCTCACTGCTGTCTTCTGAGTCATTGGCTTGGACGCTGGAGGCCCACAGCAGCAGGCCCAGCAGGGTGATGGACAGAAGTGTGCGTGTCCTCATTGTGTCCTCTTCCTGTCTGAGCTGCTCCCGTGCCTCCTTCCAGGTCTGGACGCCTTCAGTGCGACTTGCCCACCTTTATGTGCCCTGTGTAAAGATTGTGTGTCAAAATGTTACTGGCCTCCTGGCTGGGCCAATCAGGAGACATGGACCCAAGGGAGTTTTTCCAGTTTAAGCAAATCATGAGCTGCCCTGTAAAAGTCATAATTAGGCAAACAGAAAGGATCACACGTGTCCTCTGTTCACTCCTCTTGTCTTCTCTGAGGGTTTCATTCTCCTTTGTCCTCATGCAGCCACATTTTACTAAAGATGCTGCTGAATTACGTCTCTCTCCTTTGTTTGTACTTCTGTTTACTTCAGTTACAGCCGACACCTTGACTCCTCCCTCCCACAGTGAACAACTGTTCACACTGAAGAAAACAGGAGGTGTTCTTTCTTTACAACAGGTCCATGCAGTTACAATCTTTCAGTTACTTTATATTATAGTTAATGGAGTGATTACATTTACAATAGTTACTTATCGTGAGCACAGAGACACTGGACACACACACACACAGTGATGTGAGGACAAATCTATTTGGACTGTATGTTGTAGTACTTTTAAATATCAGGCAGTTCAAACAGCCAGTTCAGAACAAGACAACAGACTATCGTCCACTTAGGGCCTAAAGTCATCGGAGCTCCAGAGGCAGATTCCTACTACAGTGCAATCATGTTGCGTCATATGTGTAATAATATTCTGAGCATGTGGTAAAAGTGAAACCGACCCAAAAAAATTTGAAAGTCCTAATATATAAATATACATACACACATATATACAGTATATATATATGTATATATATATAGAGAGAGAGAGAGAGAGAGAAACTGTGACAGTTAAAAGCAAAACAACGTACCTTGAGTAAATATTAGTGTATCTTTGCATGTGCAGTACCAGATATTCTTGTCTCGAACACCTGAATTGGAGTCAAAGCCAAATCACACTGGTCATAATTACATTTAATCCTCCATTCTGTTTACGTAACTGTAGATAATCCTGTGACTGTTGGCAAAGAAAACAATTACAGCGAGCGACAGTTAACTGTTCCCGATGCTAACAGACACTGTTACCAACTGTTGAAGAGAAAAGTCGAGCTAACTTTTATTTAACACCGTTTTATTAGCTCAAAAGACAAATATATAAAAATAGAAACAATAACAAAGGTACAACACGACATGTTTGTTTTTGTCTGCTTCAGTTCATCTCAGGCTTCACTGCTGCATCGTGTGTGTGTCTTCACTCAGACTGTGTGTCAGCTCTGGGTTTGGATCCCAGTTTGCCAACAAGTCACTGAAGTCCGGCTGATCGTTGTCCAGAGTGTGTGTGTCACTGTGTATAAGTACGTGAAAGGGTGTGTGTGCGTTGACCTGTGAGATCGCGTCACTGACGTCTGTTGTGTTACTGTAGCTGTCCAGAGGACAGCAGGGCAGCGGCTCCTTCCAGAAACTGAGGGGAAGATGCCGCTTGATCATGGGTTGGCCGCGGCCCTGACTGGGACCCATGAGGTCAAAGAGTTCAGCCAAGGGTCCCAAACCACTGCCGCCCTTCACCGGGCCTGCCCCAGACAGGCCGTTTTCCCGCTCCTCCGGACTCCCTGCTCCGGCGATTCTCAGCAGGTCATCGTAGTAGCGCAGACGCCCACTGGTGGTGATGGAGTTGCTGTAGATGTCACTGCTGTCTTTGTCAGCAGAGCAGCCACCGAAATACCTCTGAACGTCTCGACTGATCAGGTCTGCAAACGTCAGCAGCTGTTTGGTGACGTCCAAGGTCTGGTGGGCCGAGTTCAGAAACTCCTGTTCTAAACATTGTTCATCTTCCTCCGGGTTTTCACATTCCTCTTCTTCCTCCTCCTCCTCCTCTTCTTCTTCCTCCTCTTCATCTTTTTCTTCTACATCCTGCCTCTCCACTAGTACTTCATCAAGCTTCTCTTCTTCTTCTCCTTCTTCATTGATTTCTGTGAGTGGAGAGTTCCTGAAAATCAAGGGGAAGTAGCCTGGAGTCGGGGCGTGGATGTGGAAGTTCCTGATGATCCCCGTGGCCATGTTTACACAATAACACTGGTGGGGACAATAGGAAGAGAAAATGGTAACAATCCTACAAACACAGAAAATATTAGAGTATTACTTCAACTCATTTTTTAAGTAGTTTGACTGTGACTGAAATATCCCAAATATAATTATAGCCACAAGAGGGCATGCCTGTGTAGGTTCTCAGTCATCCAGGTCATTCAATCCAAAAATAGTTACATCGAGGGCCACTGGACAAAAAAAACAAAAAAAAAAACCTTTGTCCAGTTACAAATTCAATGTAATTTTTGGACCACAAGAGGGCAGATTTTTTTTGGCAATTTTGCTACTAGCACATCTTCACATTACATTTGTTGACAGATGTGACTAATACTCCGATGCTAGGTAGAGTCATGAAATTATGACGAATTAATTACGAATCGTCCGACTGGAGTATAAAAAAGTCAGGTTTCTTTACCTGAAGGCAGTTTCTCTTCAGTCAGGTCAGGATCTGTCCAGGTCCAGGTCACAGCTGATGGATCCAGGTTCCCAGATCCACGTGTGTATGTAACAGTGATCCGGCGGTGGTGAGAGTTTATATAGAGCAGGTCACAACCACAGACGTGTGCCCGTCTCCTGTCAGATCAGGCAGCTTCCAGATCAAATATTTGCCTGGCGAATAAGCCAAACACACCTTGTTTACTCTATCACTGGGAAACCAGGGAGGGGGTCCAGAGCTAATGGACCCTGTGCCAGGGGACCGTGGAGAGTGGTCACACAAAAACACACACACACACACTGGTTGTTGCCTTTTCCGTCCCCGTTATCAGCCTAGTTAAAGGATAAAAGAGCGTGAAATCAAATCATATGCTGTTTTGACTTCTAAAGGAGGAACACTCTGGAGTGACATCAGACCCTCACCCTCCACCTGCCCCATACACCACCACCAACACCACCAACACCAACACCAAACAGAGATAAAGTACAAACCTACCCTGTCCACCACGGTACATGGAGGACTGTGATGTACTGGAGGCTCAGGCAAAACGTTCAGATCCAGATTTCTACTATAAAACAGAGACAAAAGTTAGGACAGAGTGAAAAGGTCGTTCTTGGAGATTCTTCCTAACCCAGTTAACCAGCTCCCCGGTTAATTGGTTAATGGAACCGAGATGACAGTGCAGCATAAAGGTTACAAATCAACAGTTATTAATGAGACAAAGACCAAAGTCAAAGACTTTAAGTCATGAATAAGAGCCACTAATCTTTATTAATTTAAACTTAAAAGTTAAAGACCAAAGTCAAAGACTTTAAGTCATGAATAAGAGCCACTAATCTTTATTAATTTAAACTTAAAAGTTGGTCAGGGTCTAAAGTCAGACTTGATTTTTACTGATTTGATTTATGACTGTACAACATTTTTTATTTCTGATTACATTAAATGTATGGTGTGAGTGGGATGATCATGTTATTGATAAACATATAATAAACTTATCAATTATTATATTATATAAAATTAATAATCATTATTATCATTGTGTATACATATATTTATATAGACACATGTACATCACCAAAATCTAGCGACCCCTACTGTAAATTTTTTATCTAAATAATCTATTAACTTGATAGAGATTACAACTGCGTGTGGTAAAATATCAAACTATCTCTAACTAAAAATCCATCATATTGACATTTTTTTAAAATATAAAAAGTATATATATATATATTTTATATTTTTTTAAAAAATGTCAATATGATGGATTTTTAGTTAGAGATAGTTTGATATATATATATATATATGTGTGTGTGTGTGTGTGTAATACTGCCATAGAAATACACTTTCGTTTTCTTCAAATTGCATGTTAAAAATAGGAAGGTTTGCTTTAAAAAAACTGGCATTAACTTTAATTATATAAAACCTGATTAAAAGTTAGTTCTATCACTTTGGTCATGTGACTTTGCCAAAAGAAACAGATGACTGTTTAATGGAGCCCGCTCTGAGTCTGTGGACACACAGGTTGGAATCAATGAAAACAATAACCTGAGGATGTCCAGTTCACCGACTCCCACTTTCACTGACCGTGCTGGACATATGTAGCTGCATACATGTGCTCACTGGGCATTAGTGTGTTTGTGTGTCAGTTTGTGTGTGTGTTATCAGGACATGCTGTCTCCTCAGGCCTGACTGTCATCAGTATCCAGGCTTCTGTGTTGACTTTACAGCCAAAGATCAATAGTAGCAATATGTCAGCTCTCGAGAGCACGACAATAAATTACACAGGCTTTTAGGCACAGGAGCACATGGACACACATACACACTGGGAGGGGGTGGGGGTGGGGGGGGCGAGACCTCAAAAGACTGTGATGATATATTTAAATATAGTTAGAAAAATGTATATGTCTTCCTGTCTTTAATGTAAAGTATTTTTCTTTGTTCACTGTTTTCATGGTAATATGTTGTCGTTGTCTCACCGTGTGTTGAAGCATCATAAGGAAGTGAGGCTTCTGTTTGCTGCTACCGCCGGTCATCTCGAGGTCACTGTGTAGAAAGACGACAGAATTAAAAGTGTTTAGATTTTCATGATGAAACTTTAGGTCAAGGGAACAAAAGCTGTAGGTGCAAAAAAAAAAATGCTGCTTGTTTGAGGAGAAAGGCATCCTGGAGCAGATGGAGTGAGGACTGGTGTCTTTAAGGCTGAGCTTCTCCTCTGTGTCCTGTCCTTCTGTTCACTCTGTAGCTCAAACACAAGACACTAAAAAAAAGAGCTGGAAGTTTTTCAAGTACAAAACCTTTTTTTTTTTAATTTTCTATGATCAAAACTGCAAAACATCTAGAAAAATATACAACAAATGGTTAACCTTTCACAACATTTAACATTTGAAAATGGGAACATAAAAGAAAAGGAATATTCACATTTCCCCAAATAATGATAAAAAGAACATTCATTTTTATTTCCTTTCTTTTACATATCAATCTGTTATATGTTTCCAATGACTGTTCGACTCTGCTTCTCTCTCCTCCGCTCCTCCTCCTCTCTTCTTCTTCTTCTTCTTCTTCTTCTCAAGCATCTCCGCAGTAGCCGGAGTCATTGGACAGCTGTGAGTTGGAGCTGCGGTTGGACGAAGAGTTCCATATGTCCAGGTTCATGTGTGGCCCAAACGGGTTGAAGCTGGAGTACTGGATGGGTCGGCATCCTCCCTCTGGCTCCCGACTGTAGGGGGAGAGAGGCGGGCTGATGGGTGACACGGGCGTTATGGGGGCTGATCTCTCTGGTTGGAAGTGGCTCTGGTAGGGCTCGCTCTGTGGCGTCCAGATGGAACCGAACAGACTGGACATGGGGGAGAGGCTGCGTGTACCTGAAAAGTATGGCTGTGAAACAGAAGAGGAGAAAGTCACTGTGTGTGGTTGGAACGAACAGCTGAGGTGAAGAAACACAGATTTAAAAAAATATATAATTTTTATTTAGCATTAATTAAATATTTAAATTAGAGATTTTGAAAAATTACAAATTACACTTATAAAGTATCACTTTTAGCTCTTACATAGATCTAAAAGTGATATTAACTGTGCTTTGAATACTTTAACTTTTAGGCAGTGAACTTGTTGCCAACAAAATGACAATATGGAAGTGGACAAGTTCTTGTATCTGTATCGGTTTTAGCATCAGTAAAACACAGAGTGGATCCTGGATAATAACTACAGGTGTGGTATAGATCAGGTACAAGGTAAGAGTTGCCACCTTGCTGCCCACACAGGCTCCTGTGTCCCAGGTTGAGGGCGACTCCTGCGGTTGCTCCTCTGTCCAGCAGCTCTGATTGGTGTGTGTGCTCTGACTCTCCTGAGCAGAGAAACCACTGGGAAATGTTCCATTACCTAAAGGGTAAATATTCCAGCAGGTGAACAATCAGCTGACGGTGACTCACACTACGCAGGAATGTAGTGTTGACATTAAAAAAAAAAATTCCTACTACATCTGATTCATTCTGTACCTATGTAGTTGGCCTCCTCACAGTAGGTGTAGGGGTTGTTGCACTGGCTGTTGTTACTCCATGTATATCTGAAGGAAACAAAAGAAAAAATAGTTTACATGTTAACCTCAGTCAGGACAAACTGTAGAACATATTTCTATCAATGAGGACGCAACTATATTAAATACAGTCAAAAAGCAACATTAGGATATACTTATCGGACTACAAATAGATTAGACCAAGTTCTAGTCTAGACCAGGAGTTTTTTATATTGAAAATAATGTTGAAAAAATGTTGAAAATAATTCAGATTTCCACCTATTTCTTAAATTCGGGGAAATACTACATGATTTTTAAGACACTTCTACAGAGCTGCAATATTTGTATTTGGCCACTAGGGTGCAGTATAACATCAGCAAAGTTGCCATCTTGAAGTACGCCACCATGAATTTACCATTGTCGATCTACTGTATATTAGCAGGTCTATTAGAGCCAACAAACAGGTTGCGATATAAATATCACCATTACTCACATCTTCTATCATTTATTCTAGTTTTCTTATGAATTAACTGTTAAAATAAAACAGTGCTTGGTGGAGTTCAGCCATCACAACACTTACCCATTGTATGGCCTGGGGGCTGGTGGCTGAGGTATGAAGGGCATTGCCTCAGTGGTGTTGTATCTGAATTCGTTGGTCAGAGGAATGGAGGGGGCGGACCACGTCTCCTCAGGCATGTACTGACCGGTCAGCTCTACAGAGGAACAAAGGTGGCAGGTGAAAGTGAGCGGTGTGTGTCAACTGTCAAAAGGACGTGTTTACATTTTTTTTAAAGACCGTACCCATATTTCTGTCCACACCTGCAGCAACTGCAGCAAAACTTGGGGCAAAACTCGGGGGTGCGGGCTCTGGGCTTTGGCACATGTCTTTACGATACAAGTTGTTCATGCTGAGCAGAGCGGGAGGAGAAACAGAGGTTAAAGATGGTCGCCATGGTAACCATGGTGACTGATCAGTTAACTTGTCCCCTGGTTTGTAAAGTGAGAAAATCTATAGAACATCAAGGGAAACTATTCATTTTGTTCAGTACTTTTTTGTGTCTTTTTGTTACATTAGAACCCATTTCAATTCAGAGAAAAAACATTAAACTTCCTACCGTTAGTGTCTAATGCAAAAACGTGATTTTATTTATGAGAGTAACTACCTGTGAGCCTTGTAGTTTGTATTCATGGTGTGATAGCAGTCTCTCTCTACAGGGTAGACACTGTACTGCAAGGAGTCCCCTATAAAAAAAAA